GGGAAAAAATCTGAAGTGCGCGCTGCAAAAGAAAAAATTGTCGCCAACGGAGATTCACAAAGATATCGTGGCCCTATTGGGGGAGAATGCTCTTTCTTATTAAGGGATAAAAAATATGTCCCGAAAATTCAAATTGGGTAGGCAGACCTGTGAACATGCAAAAGATGCTGGACGACCAGTGACTGTCTCTACTAAAGAAAATGGTGATACTGTACAGTGTACATGATATGGTGTGGCCTGATTGATTATTATTATTCGTCGGATAGTTGAAATTACGGGAATTTCATATGGTTTTGTGGAAAATATATTAACAAATATCTTATGTCTTAAAAAGCTGTCTGTACGTTGGGTCGCGAGAATGTTGACACCTGATCAGAAACGGTTTCGATCAATTCATTTTGAAGTCAATCTGACAAAGTTTAACACGATCACCATTGATGAAACACAGGCTGACCACTTCAATCCAGAATCAAAAAAACAAAGTGTGGGGTGGCAGCATAGAGGTTCTCCTCCACTTGGCAAGTTTCAGGTTTTGCCATCTGGTTTTTCCAAGGGAATCTAAGCACTGGAGCATTGTTGGGAAAATGCATTGCAATTGCATGGGACAACATAGAAAAGTAGTGATTTAGTTTTTATTTTATTTTCTGTGCTTGTTTGTCAAGTGTACTTGTATGTTGCGGTGATTTTAATTTTGACTTCAAGGGAACGAAGGGACTCTGCGAAGAGATTCGCAATATTCTAAATATGTAGTTTTGGCTTACGACAGTCTAGTTTTGAATATACAGCGGTACAAGAGAACAGCAAATCTATTACTTACAATATATTCTTGATTACGAATGAAAATTTAGAAGCTGCGGTTATTTGTACATTTAAATATTTCGGACCACCGTGCCCAAATAGTTTCGTTTACAGAAGCTATGACTATATTTATAAGCGTGAATTTTTCCAAGATATTTTAAACATTTTCACAGATATGTTACTATCAATGAAGTGGACTACCATCTTAGTAATGGGTGAGTTTTCTGACTATTTTACTTTGTTTTATGACATATTTTTTAATATTTCCAATTATATCTATCCTGTTAAGCGTAAGCTAGTAACAAAAAACATATGACCTCTGAACTCCATGAGGAAGTTCATAAACTTAGGGATCTTGATAAACTTTGGCAAGTTCGGGCAATATTGTTGCTCGGAAACAATTCAAACTACGAAAGAAATATTATGACAGTAGACTCATAAATGCTCCAAATAAATCACAAGTTGCATGGAAAATTTTACATGAGGAAACTAACCTAAGTAAAATTAAAACATGTTGCAAAAATCTTATGGATATTGACGGCTAAAAACTGACGGACTCTGTAAGAATTGCAAATGCTTCTAAGAACTTTTTTGCTAAATCAGTTCAAAATTTGATAAATTTATCCTCGGTTAACATCGCAGAAGCGGTTAAAAATATTCCGTTAAATCTAAGTAGTATGTTTTTAATGCCGGTTAATGGTGATCAGATGCATGATTTCATAAGGTTTCTATCTGAAAAAAAAACTCAGAAGGTAGTGATAGTGTACCATACTCTTTATTGAGTAAAGTGGCTCGTACATTAGCCAAACCAATATCATTATTATTAATTAATCAACATTTTGTGCTGAGAATTGCTGAGAAACGGGCAATGTTTGTCCAATATTTAAAAAAAGGGTGCATTTATTGATCATTGACTATAGGTCTGTGCCTCTTTTATCTGTATTTTAAAAAATTTTGAAAAAACCTAATATCTCCAACTGGATAAACAAACACTACATACTTAATAACTATCCATTTGGCTTCAGAAAGTCTCAGTCAACCCAAGATGCGACCTACCAGTTCTGCAATTCATTTATTGACTTTTGAGAGGATAAAATTAAATGTGCAGGTATTTTTTTTAATAACTCCAAAGATTTCGACATTCTGAATCGTGAATTAATGTTCGCAAAGCACATAGGCATAGGAATAAGAGGGATGTCTTATGATTGGCTGTCGGCCTACGTAAAAAAAAAGATCGCGGGTAGTTAAATGGGTACTTTCTGGTTAAACTTACTATTCAAAGGCGGCTACCTTGTCTACGGGAGTTCCACAAAATAGTATTCTAGGTCCCCTACTTTTTATATTAATAAATGAAGATGCTTTAAAAAACATCAAAATGTGTGCTTTAGTAATGAATCATGTATTCCGAACATGCCTGAAGATAATGTATTCAAATTTAAAAATATTCAAAAAATGTTAAGACATCCCTATGTAATTTATTCTGATTTTGAATTTATTCTGAAACCTATTCATACATGCGAACCAAATCCTGAATCATCATGTACTCATAAAATACAATTTCATATTCCCTGTGGTTATAGATTATAAGTACATTAAAAGTGCTTATAATAATATTGATAACTATGATAACCCATTGGAAATTTACAGAGGCGAGGAAAGTGATAAACGTTTTATAAAAAGAATAATTGAACATGCTAGAAAAATATATGTTATTAAAAGAAAATAAACCCATAAAAGATATCGAACTAGAAGAATATAAAAAAACAAAAATTTGTTATCTTTGTGAAAATATGTTGTTTATAGAAAAGCCAAAAGTAAGAGATTATGATCACTACACTGGAAAATATAGAGGAGCTGCTTGTAGAAAATGCAGTTTGAAATATAGACCACCATTGTTTATCCCAATTTTATTTCACAATTTAAGTTCTTACGTTTGTCATCTAGGAGAAGATAAAAGTTAGTTGAAATTAATACCTAATAACGAAGAGAAATATATTTCTATGAGTAAAATTTTAAGAATGGATGATAATGGATATATCGAATTGAGATTTATCGATTCATTTAGATTTTTAGCAAGTAGCCTAGACAATTTGTCATCTAATCTAGAATCAGATTACAGGCGGATGCAATCAAAGCCGAATGGCTAACAAGTTCACAGAGCGAAGACCAAAAAGGGCTTATTTTAAGGTTTTTTTTTCAAGTATAGAAAGTAAACAGGACCTACTAAGAACCGATGTAGACAAAATAAGAACCGATGTAGAGCAGTTACCACAGACCGTCCGTTTGATAGTGAGGGAGGAATTACAATTCACGACTAAACAGAAAACAGATAAAGAATCTTTTAAAACTGGGATTTGAAAATTTGTAAAATTTGTAAAATGCGATTCAATCATTATGTAGTTTAATGTATTTTGTAATGTAATTCAATTATTATGTAAGATAATTCAATTATTATTAAAAACTCAAAGTGCGTTGTCAATATAAAATTTTAATTATTATCCGAATATCGATCAGAGGTAAAAACCTATTATGCTCATCCGTAAGAACAAAGTACAGCAGCTAGATGATTACTGCTTATCTCCAAGAGAAGATTGTTCTCGTTAGTAAATCTTACTCTACGAGCATATCAAGATGATTTTTTAGCCTGGTTTTAAAAACTAACACGCTATTTGAATTTATACTTTCTACATCAAGACTATTCTATTCCAAATTTTAAACACACGATTAGTTAGAAATTGCTGTCGCCATTTCGTTTTATATTTTTCATGAAACAGCTTTTTTGAGCAAGAACAAAGATGGTGGAAAGGTCTACAGTAAGCTTATGATTGAAGTTTTTAAAAGTCTAGACGAGATCGTTAAATATGTGACTTGATGTTAAAGTTTTAATATGGTTGGTCTATCCTCATAACTTTCATTTGTCAAATTTACAACAGTTTTAGAACAGCGACGCTGCACTTTTTCAATTAGTTGTTTGTCCTTTATTAGTGTAGGAAACCAAATAACACTAGCATATTCGCGATAGGACGAACATATGACACGGAAAGGATTTTAAATAACTCTTCATTTGAGTTCACGAATGTCTTTTGCAGCAAGTAGGTCGTTACATTTGGTTTTTTACTGTATGTGCGACATGCTCCGAAAAAGAAAGATTACTGTCGAAGATAACACCTAAGTCGTTGACTTAGTGAACAGTTTGCAATATATGATTATCAATTGTATATATTATACGAGGGTCAGTCAATTATGAACCGGAATTCTGTTTTTTCTAAAACTGTACTAATTCTAATAAGCTGCCATAAATAGAATATAAAGGTAGGAATGTAGAGAAGGGATGTGACCAAAGCGGCAGCCGATATCTTTTTGCAATGAGCAGTAACATCATGTCGAAGCAAGCAGTGCCAGCGTCGGTTGCACAACGTGTTATCATTAAATTTCTCGCAAAAGAGGGCGTCAAATCCTCCGAAATTTTAACCAAATTGCTTGCACAGTTTGGGGAAGAAACGTTGTCAAAAATTCAAGTGTACGAATGGTCCAGAAAATTTAAGGAGGGGCGTGAAAATGTTGAAAATGAGAGTCACCATAGTCCTCGCAACCATTTTTTTTTTTTGGGACTGGAGAGAAATATTGCTTGTCGACTTCTTCATGAACGTCGTACTGTAAATGCTCCATATTACTGCCAGCTTTTGGTCGATGCAAAAGTCGCGTACAGGTCCAAAAGACGCCAAACTCCAATCCGAGACGTAATTTTGCTTCACGATAACGCTCGACCGCACACAGCCCTTTTAACGTCATAAAAATTGGTTGACTTTCACTGGGAAGTCTTCAAACATCCCGCCTGTAGCTCAGATTTGTCGTCCTGTGACTATCATTTGTTTGGTCCACTGAAAGAGGCAATGGGAGGGCAGCGTTTCGAAAGCGACAACGATGTGGAGCGGTTCGGGCGTAACTGGGTTGTGACACAGCCTCAAACATTTTATGATAAAGGAATTAAAAAGCTTGCTAGACGTTGGCAAAAATGTATAGCCCTTCAGGGAGACTACTTAGAAAAATTCTAGAGTTCGTTTGTACATTTGTTTTGCATTATTAAATTAATAAAAAACAATTCCGGTTTATATTTGAGTGACCCTCGTATTTGGGTTGTTTTTGTCCAAACGAAAAACAAAACACTTGTGAATGTTTAATGGCATTAGCCAGATGCGAGTTCAGCTGTAAGATATTGAAAAGTCATCTTGAATAATCTGCGAAAGTGTTAATGGGTTGCCATACAACTTGCCATCGTCGGCATAGAAAAAGTGAGAGGACTTTAGTAAAGATAGTAGATCTGATACATAAACGAGAAATAATAGTGGTCCCAGAACTAATCCCTGTGGAACAGCAGACAGTACGTTACGTTTTGTAGAAAACGATGAACCTACTCTCACATTAAAATACCGGTCGCTTAGGAAAGTCTCAATACATTTTAGCAAAAGACCCTGCACTCCAGAATTTTCTAACTTAGGCAATAAGCGATGATGCGGAAGGCAATCAAACGCCTTTTCAAATTCTAAATAAATGACATCCGTTGGCTCGTTTCTTTCTAATGATAATGACCAGTCGTTAAGGCATCGAAGTAGGCATGTAACGGTGGACCTGCCAGGTAAAAAACCATATTGATTTGAGGAGATGATATAATTATCAATTAAGAATTGGCGAAGGTGATGACATATGACTCTTTCCATGATTTTACAGCAAATGGAAGAAAGGTAGATGGTTCTCTGGTTTCGTTTTATCGCCCTTTTTAATAAAGGAGTAACTTGAGCCTGAAGCAAAATTGGTGACAGTACTGATGTCTGAAATGCACTAGTCATGATAAACGCAAGGGGACCACTAATAGTGGTAGCACATCGCTTCAGCACAAGGGACGTAATACCGTCAGAGCCTGGAGAACTCTTCTCGGGAAGTTTGGTAAACTCACTGAAGACAATTTCATCAGAAAAATCAACGTTCGAAAGAGATGGTTTTATTTGAGGTGTTGTGCATGCTGGCAGGTTACGGATGTTGGCGGTCCCCTCTTCATTTCTTGCAAATACGTTATCTGTGTCACAGATGATTGGTGTAGACACTTTCGCGAGTATTTTGGTCCTGACGTATTTATAAACTGTCTTAGGACCGCTTTTTGATAGTCTTAATTCGTAGCGATGTTTTGCTGATCTGAGATAATGTTTGAGTTGGTTGGAATATGAGCGGTGTCGGTCAAATTCTGCTTGAGAACCCGTAGATTTATATTTGAGCCATAATTGTTTTTTCGTTCTTGCACGTTTTAGGAAATATTGTTGTATCCAAGGTTTTTTCATATTGTATTTGATCTTGTAAGTTGTAGAATTTTTGCATGTTAAATCAGATAGTACATTTGTAAAAACCTCCCATGCTTCAAAGCAGCTATGTGAACGATAGAGTGCATCCCAATTAAAATCAGTCAAGTCCGAAGTTAATCGATCATAATTTATTTTCGAATGTTCTTTTGTGTCATATTTCTTAACGGAAGGTAGATGATATTGTACGAATGTCTCTAAAACACAATGATCTGATATGCCAATAGGTGCACAATGATTAATTTCACCTAGAAGATTAGGATTTTTTTAAAACCAAATCAATAAGTGAAGGTGTCTGACCAGCACGAAAATGAGTGGGTGAAGTAACCGATTGTGAAAGATTGGTTTCCAGAAGCACGCCCACAAATAAGAGGGCAGAATTATTATTTTCTAATTTCTAAGATAAATATTATTGAGAGACTTGATCTCATCAAATAAAGATTGATCATCTACAATGGAACTATCAGGTGGTCGATAGACGCAAAACAGAACAAAGCTATAAGAACAATACCTGACTTCAACACCAACCCGCTCAATTTTGCCAACATTTTTGCTGTAACTAAGAGACGATAACTACGATTCGCTTAATACTTAAAATACGGTCAGGATTCTGTTGATGAACATATAGAGTGAACGAATTCAAATTAGCAAATATAGAGGCAATATTTGTATACCTACGTAATGGAAAACTGTGCAACCTTGTCAGGTCCATGTGCTTCTACCTCATTTCGGCACGAATCTCTAGTTGTTTGCTATGCTGAAAAATATCTGTTTTAAGTTTTTCGAGGGCTGCACAATGAACAGGACATGAATGATGATTTTTAGGTTCAATTAATATCACGGGTGTGGTTTTGTTTTTCAATATATCTGAGAAGGATGCAACAGGTTTAGGATCAGGAAGATTATTTTTAATCTGATTTTGAGCACTAACTTGTTACCAGCTCAGCTTTTAGGTCCGAAAACACGTTTTTTAGGCTGCTAAACATTTCATCAAATTTTTTAGCTAGGAAATTGTTCAAAGATTCTGGATCTAGGCACACGCATTTATTGGCACATTCAGTGCATTTCCAGGTGAGATCTGCTGGAATGGTGCTCAGCTGGTTATGCAAATCGTCCGAAACGTTAACACATTTAAAATGAAAATGCTTGCAGCACGTACCAGAACAAGTTAAATAAGGAGAACCCGCTCGCTTCTTAACCGACCCAAGACATTTAGCACAAACGGGTAGCATGATAAGTTTTGCAAATTACGACCGTAAAAGAAATAGACAGGATATCACAAGCTGTAATAAAATTTCGTCTACTGAGGGACAGCGAACCGCCTTAGAACAAGGCAGGCCACTGGCATTATCACCACCAAAAAATGCTACGATAATTTAAAGCGGGCATGTGGAAAAACAAAATGAAAAGATCTCACCAAAGCGACGGCCAGATATCGTTAGAGTTGTTGTGCAAAACCAACGTCACCACACCCAAAAATACACTACTTTTCGAAAATTTCTCCGGATAAGACCAGAGAAAACAGCGAAAACCCACAGCACGATGCGAACATTGCGAACAGCGTGACTGAAAGTTCAGTATCTATTTGTTCTAATCTGTATTCAAGACTTTGAGGTTATGTTGTTGAAGTGTTCGTTGCCACCCAAGTAGTTCAAATTTAAATCCAAAGAAGTATATTTTAACTGCTTATTTAATTAAAACTGTTAAATTTTTTATGACAAGGAAAAACACCAAAAAATAAAAAAAGCCATTTAATAAAAAACTGTTTTCTAACATCTCTACCTTGTCAATTTTGAAAACAGGAAGTAAGGTTGGTGTGACAGTTCTACCAATTTCAAGCAAAATTTATTCATATTAAAACAACAATGCGTCAGTACAAAACAAATAATTGTGACATAGTTAATTAAGTAATAAAATTAATGTAGACATTGGAAACATCTTTATCAAATACTACCCTATATGTTTATAGAATTAATTGGCATTTTTTGTGCAAATTTGGCAAACTGTTTGGATTACCCCTCCAACACTTAAGCCAGGGCCGGCTCTAAGGGACCAGGCGCCCCGATGCAGCTTACTGTTCAACGCCCTTAAAAAAAAATTTGTAAAAAAAAAATTAAAGTTTTGTAATCACATATTTTTGTAGAGAGATACTTTTTATAAACAAACATGCATAAAATTATGATGAATCAATCTTAATATATAAAAGTGTTTGTCTTAACTGACAGACTGACTGATTCATCAATGCAAAGCCTATACTACTGAAGCTACAAACATGAAATTTGGACAGTAGGGTCCTTTTCTGTCATAAGCACCCATTAAGAAAATATTTCTGGAAATTCCATCCCTACGGGGACAAAATAGGGGATGACACTTTGTGCAGAAATCCCGTGAGTTTTTAAGTCAGACGGGTTCACTGGGGCCCTGGAGGAGTGAACAAGATGAAAAATGATAATTTCGGAGATTTCCACGGTCGGAATCAATACATGATCGTTTTCCGGGTTGGAACCGTGTAATTTCTCAAAAAAGTTTCGCCTCTGGTATGGTTGACATACTGATTTACCGTGCTCTTTTGCCTTATTCTTAACCCTGCTCCTGAAGATGCCACTTACGAAAGTGTGCGAAACGTTGAGCCCAAAAACTCAATTTACACGGTTCCAACCCGGAAAACGATCATGTATGAAAAATGATGAGTCCTAATTGCGAATTCCACGCAAACGGAGCTGCGGGCAAAAACTATATTTACAACTTAAAGTTGTCGCCTGGCGGTAATCCGCAGACCTTAAATTTGCGTACAATTACCTGCTAAATGTTAAACATATTCGGGGGGACTGATGGGAGACATAAATATTTCTTACCATTGTACTACTGTCCGCTTCGTTATTGTCAATAAAATTTTTTTAGGGCACAACGATATTTCCTAAACTATACATAGTATAAGTATAAAAATATTTATATTGCAAACGTTTTTCAATTTTTATTATTGTAAAATTGATGCGATTTCAAAGTTATTTTTAATTTAGACTTACCTCAATGTTAATCGAAATTTAAATTTAAAATTAATGATGACAAAAAGCCACGAAATGATAGACAGAACCAAATTCGGCTACAAACAGGAATAGTGAAAAATATAAGAAAACTGTTGAACAAATCACCACAACCAAAACCAACCGACTAGACTTGGAAAATAAAATGTTTAAGTATGCCGACATGGACTTTTATGGTAAAAACAAACGTGACAAATGTTAAGAAAAACATCTGGTTGTGGTCATACCGCTGTCTCGTCAAATTGTTACCAATATAGTGCATCATAAATCTGGTTATTTTTTGTCGGTATTGATCTAAAGGTCCCATCACCCAACCCAAAGGCGCACTCTTTTTCAATTATTACAGTTTGATAGTGCCAGGAATTGACTTCTTGGGATCTGTTTTGATGGTCATAGTGGAATGTTAAAATGTAGGTTTTTCTGAAAAGTTTTCGATGGGCGCCTTGGTCTGTTACTGCTATAATATTTTGTTGGTAGTGATTCAATGCAAATCTAACATTAAGTTATTTTTATAGAGTTAATATAAAAGCATAGGCGGCGCCCGCCGCCCGGCGCCCCTTGTCACGGGCGCCCCGATGCGGTGCATCTTTCGCTTACCGTGTTGAGCCGGCCCTGACTTAAGCTCTTGCTACGCCTCTGTCTATCATTCACTCGAATCGGTTAAAAAATTAACAACATACAACGTCAAAGGTTTTTTGTTAGTCACTTTATTTCTATAAGTAACACTGTAAGTAAGTACATATGAATTTTGTAATCCATTTTAATTTTGTTCCCTGCTTTAACTTATGTCCACGAATCATCTTGGGCGAGTTTGAGGGTAAAACTTATGTTAGTTGTAGTTGTAGAGAGAAAAAAAAATGTTTCAAATGTTTGTCAGAGCACCTAGAAAATGCCAAGATTTAGAAACCACAAACTAAAGAAATAAGCTCAGAAAAATTAAGTCTTTTTGCGTCGGGTCGAAAATTCTCATGTTAAGGCTCCGCCACACAGTCATTAAAAGATGCCAAAATAAGGCAAAACGCCAACCCATTTTGCGCCTTTATTTTAACAGTTGAAGAGCAGGGCGATACATGTGCGTGCTCATGATATAAAAATCTTTAAGGAAGCGTCTTGTATTTTTTAAAAAACGTTTTTCGAGAACAAGTAGAAACATTCCCGATTCTTGTCGCGTCTGGGGGTATTAGGAAAGATTTCATTATGAAAAAGCGTGATTTTTGCTATAAGCGGCAGTAGGTACAATTTTCAATTGTCGAAACACAAAGAAAGCTCGTGCCAGTAATAGCTCAGGTCGTAATAACACCGGATTCAGAAGCTGTAAACACAAGGCCCTTGCAATAATATCGGCGACGTTATTGCCTTTCCATGTTGCACCACCGATTCAACAAATTGTATAGTAAGCCTTTTCGTTGGCAGTCATTACGTCCGCTCACGCTATCTTTCGTGTTCTGCTAAACTCCCAAATTCCTCCGGTGCCGCTCCGGAGCGGTCGTTATTCAAAAACAAGAAGAAAAAACAATCACGTATCGGCTATAATACGATAGAACAAACTCTGATTGATGAATTCAATGGGAAAGAGGAAATTCCGATAGCCGTGGCGTGCAATTAAAACAAACTTTTTAAACGTTCCGGATTTTTTTAATAAACTTTCGTCAGAAGCGAGTTTTTCAAGCGTTCCGGTGAATTTATTATTTTTTCCGGCGCGATCCGTTCGCTATAGCAGATAATTGGAGTTTAATGGTCGGGACTTCTTAAATGGTTTTACGAGCTGACCCAACAAAGCTGACGAGCTTTTAAATACTGTTTTGTGGGCAATGCGGCTGGAGAAAAAACGCAAAAACGGATTTATTACCGAGCTTTAGCGGGGCTTTATCATAAATACAATTTAGAGCAACGTTAACCTCGAATTATGGGTAAACGCCTGGAAATACGGAATTACAGCGATATCTGGACTAATCTGACCTTCCAGGCTTGCAAATTGCAGCATGCAAATTGTGTGTGGTCTTATTAAATTTAAAGGCATTAGCATTTTAATCAGAAAATAATGGCGGGCCCGATAGATACGAAACTTAACGGGCCCGATGGTTACGTTCTCTCATTGAACTCTGCAGGAACTGAATTTATTTCTGCAACGGAAATTCGAATAGCAGCACGTTTAGCGAAATTAAAGCATTCGTGGATAACTGCTTAGACAAATCGAGAAATCTTTTTAATGCAATCTCTCTGTAGGTCATCACATCGCATAAAGTAAGGCTGAGAAACGTACAGATAGCTATTGTGAGAACAGTTTAAGTGAAGATAGTAACGTAATAATACGGATTTGGGATTATTTCACTACTTCATATAATTTTTCTTACTAATGGCTATTTTTGCATAAATCTATTTATGTACGAAAGTGATTACATTCCAGGCCACGGTTTCCAGGAAAAGCTGCTTAAATTTAACCCTACCTTCGCACACCATTGGTGCTGAATACTGAGACCAAACGATCCGGATTGTGTATAAACAATCATCAAAGCCATATTTAGATCAGATCCGAATGTGATGCCAATTTTAAATTTTCTAAAATCTGCAACAGAAATACGGATGTCCACGGATCTTTGTAGTGGATTTTAATCTTCCGAGCGGGTCTACGTTCGGATCTTTATAATAACCTAAAGTGCCTAGATGCATTAAGTCGTTTTTAAGAGTGTGGCCACGATTGGCAGCGATGCCAAATTAGAATTAGAGATTAGAAGAGACATAGTAGTCGTGTGCTACCGCTGAGAAGAGTACAGTCTTATATTTTAGTTCCTCGTTAATCAAATTTTCAGTGGTGGTAAATACAGGGTTTTTATAAATGAGCGTAGATGGCCGTGGATTTCAAAAATCCCGCTTCGCTGATATTATGCCTCATTATGACGATTCTCACTTGTCATTAATGTCATTTGTAACCTGTCATTTAACGTCATCGTTTTTATTGTTTTAACGTTTTACGAGTATAAATTACAGTAATTCTCGTTGATCCAAGCTCAAAACAACAAAATAGTCGTTTTTTTTTTGTGCTAGGAAGCGAAGACCGTGAAAATGGTTTATTCTGTCTTGTTATCGCAATGATACATTCGTAAAGGAAGAGTAACCCCTTGTAAGTAAGAATATATAGCCAAATACCATGACTCGATAATTCAAGAAACATCGTTAGAGGTTCACAT